CCTGCAGGTTCCTTCTCAGCAGGCTGGGTCTGCGACCCCGCTGGCAGCTGTTTGATTAGGCCAGAATTAGCTCGCGTACAGCAATCCCTCTTCAGTACGTAGACCCCTAAATGTGGCATTACTAGTGGAGGGTACAGTCGCCTGCAGTCCTGGTGCTGCTTCCCAGCACTTACCCGCTTTAAGGGGTGCAGAGGGTGGTGACCGAGCAGGTAGCGCACTACCATGCTCGCTCGCTGAGCTGGTGGCGTGTGCTGCCTTCGCTCCAGCGTTACACTATGCCTGAGGCCTTGAAAGGTTCCTGTGATTTTTTTTTTTTTTTTTTACCAGCATCTCTTTGGTGCCGACTCCTCTGTAGAGTGGGTTGTGTTGCGATCCATGCCCATCAGAAGCAGGTTTTAGCTCCAGTGCGACTCGGTAGACAAAACAGCGAAGGGTTGAGATGATTTTCGCAGCTTCGGTCTCACCCTTCCTTGCTGCAGCTGAGTAATAATTGTCTCTGGAGCCGAATGCCGTGCCTCTTGGCAACCGCAGGCTCTTTTAGTGGGACTGAATATCGGCCTGCCAGGAGGGCCGAGTGGCTTCCAGGAGGATCTGGCTAGCTCTGATTCGGGGCCCACTTGTCATGTTTGGTAAGCCCCGTACAGGGGCTCACGAGGACGGGCTGCATTGTAAAGGGGTGCAGTGACGGTCGTGGAGGCTGCCCTGAGCCGCATCGCTGCTTCACATGCTGTTTGCTACAGAAAGGACGTTCCTGAGCCAGCCTGCAGCCCGATGGGATGAGGTGCCTTGGCTTGGCAGACCCAGATAGCAGGCACCCTGCTTGCTCTGCTTCGTTGGGCAGGACCGGGGAAGGAGTGATATTAAAACGAAGGCCTCGGCCCTATTCTTGCAGTTCTGTCTGATGGATAGTTGGGGAGCTACAGCTCGGGCCGTGACGACTGCGTGATCAGGGAGATCCTTGTAGAGTATGCCTTGTGTCCAGACAACCTTATGATCCTTTGCGTTTCCCTCAGTGGAAACGTGGCTTGTTTAGAGGGACTAGATGAGAACAGTAGCTTCTGTCGAAGTCTGATTTACTCTTCCGCAGAGCTTTCTTCGGCTAACGTACCCTGCATGTATTTGCATTCGCTATGAATTCTCTGGTGCCGGGGAACGGGGGTCATCCTCTTGGCCTCGGAGGGAGATACAGGTGTGGATGCACTGAGGAAAGAGCGCTTTGACCCACGTTGCAGCTGTAGTCTTGGTTGGAAACTTTGGCCGTTGGTTACGTAGCATTTGATCAGTGCCATGTGCTAGACGAGCGCATCGCTCCTCGCAGCCCGGGAGGGAACATCTCCGTTAGACCATATCTGCTGCGGGGTGGGGGGTGCTGAAGCTAACCAAAGACACAGCACGACCTCAAGGAAAAAGCAGCAGAAGAGGAAGTAAGCAGCAAGCAAGGGCAGTGGAAGGAGGAGGTGGAGGAGCAAGTTGAAGGGCGCAGAGCGAGGGAGGAAGTGGGAAGAGGATAAGCTTCCCCGGGTCAGAAAGAGCCGGCAGACTTTCCAGAGGCATTGCCCGCTGCGCTGCACGCGGGGGGAAGAGCTGCAATGCAACACCGAGTCTGCGCTGCCTGAACGAAACTCGGCGGGCAGAGGCGGGTCCTGGGCTCACGCGGCCTTCAAGCGAGGCTCGGCAAATGCGGCTGTGGCTCCTTTAACTTCCAAACTATTTGAGTAGTTCTGCCTCCTTGCAAAGGCAGGGGCCAGAAACCCCAGCGCAGCTGCTCCGAGGCCTCACAAACTGCCGAGGCCGCTGGCGTCTGTCGGGAGGCTCGTGCTTCTGAAACTGCAGCCTGCAGATTCCTGTCCCCCCCCCCCCCCCTCCCCCCCTCCCCAAGGCTTTCTGCCATGCACGTGTGCTGGAGCCCGGTTTGGGTGATTGGGCGCTTTTTCAAGTGAATACGTTCGAGTCTTGGGGCAGGAGAAAATGCAGCTGTCCTTGCTTTTCTAGAGCTGGAGAGCCGGGCAGCAGGGTCTGCCCGACCAGAACGGGCTGGCGGGAACCTGGATGCAGGTGGGGGTCTCTGGCTCTGTCCCTGCTGCATCCGGTCTGCTCTTTGCTGCTCCCACCCCCCTGCGGAGCGGCTCTGCCGTCCCCGGGGTTCGCTCTCCATGCCTGTCTCGCCGCTGGAAGGTGAACAAAGACTGCTGCTTCCTTTGTTCTTTTTCTTGACTCGGGACTTGGGCACCATTTTCCTCGTGGGTGGGTCTCAGGGCAGTTGGGAAGCCACTCTCACCCCAGCCACGTCATGTGCTGCTAGGCCCTGAAGCTGTGAAACCCTCTCTGTGCGTGAGACCTGCTCTTGTCCTCCTCTGGGACTGGATCCAAACCCTCCGTACAGAGGCCTCTGCAGCTCCCGGGGCTTCTCCAGAAGTCCTCACTGTTATGGCAGAGATGGACAAATCCGTGGCATTGATAGGAGCGCGCTGGACCCTTCCTTTGCTTGCCCTCTTCACTTCCTGTCCTAAATGCGTCCATTCAAAACTGCCAGGAGAGCTAGGAAGGCCGAAGGGACCCGCTCGACTTGTGTTTGGCTTGGGTCCTTTGGCTGAATTTTCTTTCCTTTCTCCAAAGGTGGCATGGGTGAGGGCTGTGCGTGCTGGAGGACAAGACCTGGTCCTCTTGTCTTCTTGACCAGCACTAATCCCTCTGTGCTGGCAGAGTCCTCCACGCCTGCCTTGGGGACAAAGCTCCCATCCTGCCTGTGCGTCGGACTCCAGCCTTTTTTAAACCCAGCACCTGTCTCATCCATGTCCTAACCAGGCTCTCTGATAGCGTGGCATGCAATGGCCATAAGATCCCCACACTGGGCTATTCACTCCTGTTTCCTGGTTTTTTGTTTTTCTGACTGAAAAGAGGGTTTGGGGCTGCCACATTAGTTTTGTTTTTAAGCGATAGATTTTATGCAGAACTCCCCCACAAAACTTTGCTTATGGGCTTCTTTGCACTAGATCAGGGCACTTTGAAGCACGTGTACAGGCTCACATACCCATCGCCATTCAACAACAGCCACAACATGGCAGACAGGCCTGAAAACTGAATTTCCCTCCCCTCCTTCTCTGAACATTTCTCCCTCCTCCTTGCCTCCTGTACGCTTCATCCTGTCCTGACCTTTTGCACGCAGACTTTATGCAGCGGTTACACAAAGCAGGGTAAGAAATCAAGTGCAGTTCATTGGTTGCCTGACCATCACATTGGTTTCCTTCTCGTACTGTGGGATTACTGCAATAACCGTTTGGTTGGCTTCTTTTTTTTTTTTTTTTAAACAACTGTATTTGCATATTAACTGCCTCGAGCATGCGAAGAAAAGTGTCTGATTTCTTAATTCTTGCAAACTTCCCCTTCTGCTGTGCCTTTTGCAAAAAGGAAAAAAGAAAAAAAAAAAGGCAAGAAAATCAAGACTTCTGTGGCCAGCTGTATTGCACCAGGCAGCTGGCCTGCCCTGCCTCCAGCCATTTTACTGTTTTACCTTCAGTAGCATGCTGTAGCCCATGACTCAGTCTCACGAAGGACTCTGTAACGCAGCCGTACGGGTGTTTGTGTCTCTGCGGTTCCCTGTCTGTGGATCCCTTTTTGCAGCCAGCGCACGGGAACTTCCTGTGGATCCCTAACTCGATTCAATCCCAATCCACGACGGAGAAGCATCTCGAAGTCTGCAGGCCTCGGGGAAGTCCACGCTGCTAACATTTTTCCCAGCTTTGTACTTGAGTTTCGTCAGAGTGAATCAGCACTCCTGTTTAAAAATGGACTGGCTGCTCCTTCCATCGCTGCAGCAAGGCTTTGGAGTGGTACAGGGCTGGGGAAACGGAGCGTGGTGTCGTTTGAAACTGGCACCTGCCAAAAACACTGACTCTGAGCAAGCAGTGCACGCGTGGTCACTTGTATTATGGGCTCACGTGTGTGCACACGCCTCCAGTTGCAATAGGAATGCTACTTTTTTGCTATATTGCGATCTTTATTGCAGAGGTCCTGGGGAGGGGAAATCGTACGTGTTCCTCTGTCCTTGGCATGCAGAGCGGAGGTCTATGGCAAGGGTGTGTGTGTAAGAAAGCAAAGGGTGCAAGCCCACACATGTGAGCATAGAGGAGCACCAGGCTGTATCCAATACACTTTTCCATGTCGGAGCACCTGGAGCTGCCTTGTGACACCTTTCCCTGTCCCTGGGGAAGATCTTGTTTTAAGACATTGAATACCAAGGGGCTGGAGATTACCAAAAAGCACCTCCTGGATTTAAGGCTGCCTGTACCAGAGAATGGTGGTTTCTCCCTAAATTGGAGCTCCACATAGTTCATTTTGCCTTCGTGTCTCAAAAATATAGTGGCCAGTGATCGAAAACTAAAGTGTCGTGTCCCTCTCTGAAGAGTTTGTTATAATAAATCAGGATTTTTGCAGAAAATGAGAGGTTGTGGGGGGGGATTTTTTTGTCGTTTTCATAGCTGGGTCTGTATTGTATTCATGGGCCTGAAGTTGTCAGAGTTGTTCTCATTTAAAAAGCGCTCGTACCCCTGCGCAGTAGTAACATGCCGGCAGCCCTCACTTGGAGAGGTGGAAACAGCTCCTAACAACAGAATTAGATAAACTAGGATTGATGCTTTCAAACTGTCTGAGGCATTTATTGAATGCCAGCTATCCCCTGTGTTGGGTTTGGTGTCATTTGTCCTCTCCTAATAGCGGTGCTTGTGAAACATAGCTAGACTCTGCCCTGAGATGCTGAACGGGCATTGTTAGCAAGCCGGGGCGACGCGCTGGAAATAACCATTATCTGGGGCGAGTACAGCTTATCGGAGGAAACCGGCAGACTGCTTCATTCAGTCCCATAGCTTCGGTTTCCTTGTGCTTTGCTTGTAAATGAATTTGTTTGAATGAATACCCATACCTCTGGTTGTAGGATAAAAAGGACAATTCAAAACACGTGTTTGTTTGTTTGTTTTCCTTTCTTTCCTTTCCCCCTTCTCCAGGTTAAAGAACTTGTTCTGGACAACTGTAGGTCAAATGAAGGCAAAATTGAAGGCCTCACAGATGAGTTTGAAGAGCTGGAGTTCTTAAGTACAATCAACGTAGGCCTAACCTCAGTTGCAAACTTACCAAAGTTAAACAAACTTAAGAAGGTAGGTGAAGGCGTTGCGTTTGCCATGCGCTCTCCTCTGCTCTGAGCGCCCGAAGCGTGAAACAGAGCTTTGCATGAGGATTTCATGGAGCGGGTGGCACTGCTGCGTGGTAAAAGCTTGTTCTAAAATCTCTCTCGCGCGTGCTTGTCTGCCTTGCAGCTCGAACTAAGCGATAACAGAATCTCAGGAGGGCTGGAAGTGTTGGCGGAAAAGTGTCCGAACCTCACACATCTAAACCTAAGTGGCAACAAAATAAAAGATCTCAGTACAATAGAACCTCTGGTGAGTCGCCGCGCCGCTCGAGAGGGGCTTTGAAACCCTCTGCTTTCTTGTTACGTGTCTAATGTTGAAGGGTGGGGAGTCTGTCTCGAGCTAACAAGCCTGTTCACGGCTGAGAGTCTGGTTTTGATGTCTGCAGTCCAGGGTGCAACGTCCCACTCTGTCTGGTGCAAATTGATGCCCAAATAGGATGCAAGCCTTCCCCCCCCACCGACACTTGGAAGGAAAGTGTGTGAGAGGCTGTGTGTGTGAGTGCCTCCCTCTAGCGGAAAGCTTTCGGCAAGGAGGCGAGCCCGCATGTGCCCCTGGACTGAGTTGGAGCGATGCCTGGGGCTGGGCAGGGATACAGGAGGAGGAGGAGGTTTGTCATCGCAGTGCAGGCCCGATGCAGCGAGGTTGTTGTGATGGGAGCTAAATGGCTCGCGTTGAGCTGGTGGCTCCACCCCGCTTTCAGTGACTGACATCAGCAACTCCACCCCGTGGTGCGTCAGGCTATTTAGCACACTGATTACTCATCTTAAAGAAAAGCCATGTGCGGGAAAGGCCGTGGTTATATCACTGTGCTCTTGCCTCCCGACATCGGACGCTGGTGGCAGGTGAGAGCAGGCACGGTGGGTCAGGCACGTTTCCCCACTGAGCCGTGCTTTATCTTGCAACCAAAGAACGGATCAGGCCTCCCATAGCAATTGGTCTGTAACCCATGAGAGCATTTAGCATTGCACCCCAGGTCACAGTCTTTTCTTTTTTTCCTCCCCCCCACGCACTCCCTCCAATACAAAAGGCAGCTGTCAAATACTTCTTGAGTGGTGACAGAAGTGCCCTTGCGTAGCTTGTCAGCTAAAAAGAAATGAAGAACCCCTTCCAAAAAAGCATCTGTTGCTGTGACCTTCTCCCTCGGCCCTGGCTATCTATCTCCTTGCGGCCAGCAAACATCTCTGCACGGCCCCTAGTGTGAAACCGCTGGGCCGTGCAGAACGAGGCCGTGCTGGAATAGGACCAGATAGCAAGTGTCTTAACAACAGGCATCTAGTCTCCCCTGCCCCGGCCCACCCAGTGGGATGATGGGCGTATTCCCCGGATCAGGAGACGTAACAGCTACCGCCTCGTATTGGATTCTCCAGCCCTTCTTTACTTCATGGATTTGGTACCTCCTCCCAGCTCGGAAGTGTGTATATGTGGGCAGACCCTGACCCCTTAGCTATTGTAGGCACGCTCCTAACTCTCTTTAAAGATGAGATGCACTTGTATATATCCTCCAACACGGGGAATGCCTCTAGAAAAGACTGATTCTCTTCCACTTCAAGTGATAGTTTTTAAGGCACATGCAGTGGTGGCTTCTCTATCATGGTCTGTCCTGGGGTGGCCGTGGGCATAATGACTGGACTGGGTATGATCTGTGACTCTGCCACTGGCTTCTTGCGTGACCCTGGCCAAGTCACTTTGCCCTCTCCCTCACTTCGGCTTTTTGTCTGTAAAATCATGATCGCCAGGCCACTTTTTTGCCATTGGGAGTTACATGGGTGGGTGTGTGGCTGTCTCTGGCTTTAAAACGTACTTGCGACCAGGCCTTTGACGGAGCCTTCTTTCGCTTCCAGAAAAAGTTAGAAAACCTGAAGAGTTTAGACCTTTTCAATTGCGAGGTAACCAACTTGAACGACTACAGAGAAAACGTATTCAAGCTCCTCCCGCAGCTCACGTACCTCGACGGCTACGACCGGGATGACAAAGAAGCCCCGGACTCTGATGCAGAGGGTTACGTGGAGGGCCTAGATGACGAGGAAGAGGATGAGGACGGTACGTAGAGGGCCCTGTTGAGTGCAGTTGGATCGTAACAGACTGATGCGTGGGCTGCTTGGTTCTTCTGTCTCCAAAAGCAGGCAAGACGGTCTAGCGGGCAAGAGCAGGGTTTTATCGGCTGCTTCCTCCCAACCCTATGTGGAGGGAGAAGGACCTTGAGCCTCTCTGTAGGGACTGAGGAAGAGGCAATAATCTGGGAGCCCAGGCAGGGCCTTCAAGAGACGCGCTCCCTTATCTTATTGGAAGGTAGCTAATGTGGTCCCCATCTTCAAGAAAGGGAAAAGGGAAGACCCGGGCAACTATAGGCCCTTCAGTCTTACCTCAATCCTGGGGAAGCTCTTTGAGAAGATCATCAAGGAGCACATTTGTGATGGGCCGGCATCAGAAATGATGCTCAGGGGCAATCAGCATGGATTTATTAGGGGGAGATCATGTCAGACCAACCTGATTGCCTTTTATGATCAGGTCACAAAGGCCATGGACGCAGGTGTCGCGGTGGATGTAGTCTTTCTGGACTTCAGCAAGGCCTTTGACACTGTCTCTCACCCCATCCTAATTAATAAACTAGGCGACTGTGGCATCGATGCCTACACAGTCAGATGGATTGCAGATTGGCTGAAGGGTCGCACTCAGAGGGTGGTGGTGGATGGATCATATTCGACTTGGGGGGAGGTGGGTAGTGGAGTCCCTCAGGGCTCGGTCCTGGGGCCTGCGCTGTTCAATTTCTTCATCAGCGATCTTGATGTTGGGGTGGAAAGCAACCTGTTTAAATTCGCTGATGACACCAAAATTTGGGGGGAGGTGAGCACGCTAGCAGGGAGAGAGAGATTGCAGAAGGATCTGGATAGGTTACAGGGGTGGGCAAACAGGAACAGGATGTGTTTCAATACGGACAAGTGCAGGGTGCTGCACTTGGGTAGTAGGAACCAGCAGCACACTTATACGATGGGGAACTCCCTACTTGAGAGCACGGAGGCGGAAAGGGATCTTGGTGTCATTATTGACTCCAAGATGAACATGGGCCGACAATGCGAGGTCATGGTTGGCAGGGCTAACCGGACCTTGTCGTGCATCCACAGGTGCATCTCGAGTAGAGCCAGGGAGGTGATCCTCCCCCTCTATGCGACGCTGGTCAGGCCGCAGCTGGAGTATTGTGTCCAGTTCTGTGCGCCCCATTTCAGGAGGGATGTGGACAACATGGAGAGGGTCCAGAGGAGGGCCACCCGCATGATCCGGGGACAACAGGGCAGACCCTACAGTGAGAGACTGCGGGACTTGAACCTATTCAGCCTCCACAAGAGAAGGCTGAGGGGGGACCTGGTGACCGTCTATAAACTCACTAGGGGGAACCAGAAGGGTTTGGGGGAGACGCTGTTTCCCCTAGCCCCCGCTGGCATAACAAGGAGTAATGGGCACAAGTTGATGGAGAGGAGGTACAGATTGGACATCCGAAAAAACTACTTCACAGTTAGGGCAGCTAGGAGCTGGAACCAACTTCCAAGGGAGGTGGTGCTGGCCCCTACCCTGGGGATCTTTAAGAAGAGGCTGGATACCTACCTGGCTGGACTCATTTGAGTCCCGTTTTTTGTTTTTAGGGTTCTTTTGTTGTTCTCCCGCCCTGGCGGGGGGTCGGGCTAGAAGATCTATTAGGTCCCTTCCAACCCTAAAACTATGAAACTATCTCCAGGCAGGCTAGCCCAGTGTGGGAATGAGACGTGCGCGCTGGGGAAAGGCAGGAATGAGGGGGAGGACACGGGAGGGGGAACCGAGAAGAAAGACGAGACCGAAAGAATGCAGCCGCCTCGGCGTGTTGTCTTCCAAGACCTTCCTGATTAGGCACCCCCACTCCCACCGCTGCCTCCATTCCCAGCAGAGAGGGAAGGGAGAGGAAGAGAGATGAGGCAAGCACAGGATAATTATCACTTGAGAGGATAATAGACCCTGGACGAGGTAGGGAGGAGAAGGTTGAGAACAGACAAAAGCAAGCGAGGAGGTAAGGAGCCCGGCAGAGGCACTGACATGGGTGAATAGGAAAGCCTTGTGCTAGATGGCCTGTGATGACAACCTGAGCGATGGCTGGGCTAGAACAGAGGGGCCACCCCGGTCTCTTGGGGTGCCTTTTGCTTTGCCCCAGTTACGCTTCCCCGGCTGCGTGACTCGGGGAATTTGCTAGCCTCTGGCACCACCGCTGAGCAGCCCGGCGCCCAAAATAGCTGCACTTGCACTTTCTCCTCGAGCGCAGAGTGTGGCGGAAGGGGCGAGTGCTGCAGCAGTGCCTGGCTCGCGCGCAGCCTTGGAGCGGCATGCAGGGTCAGCGGGGACAAGGTCTCATCAGCACAGCGTGGAGGGCAGGCGCTCGGGCCTGCGTCCGAGTGTTCCCAGTGCCTGATCCTACAGCCTAGGGGACGTTCCCGGGTGCTAGCTGCCCGCAGACCCAGATACAAAACGATGCCTAATGCAAGCTGGAGAGAGGCTGCTTCGTGCTTCCGTAGCAGCCTTAAAGGGGACAAGCCCTGGGGAAGCTTTCCCATTGCAGGGGCAGCATGTACCTCTACCCTACCGTGCAACCCTCACTAGCATGTAGGAGCCAACTGGGGGACTTGGCCCACCTTGAGAAGCCCATTGGCAGCAGTAGGGAGGGTGCTGTAAGTTAGAGCAGCCCTAGGACTGCTCTGATTTATGCCGGGAGCCACGCAAGCTCCTGTCTTCGAAACAGAAAAGTGCACGGAGCTAGATTCTGCTTTCTGGGTGCAGCTTTTAGTTCGTCGTGAAAGGGGGAAGGAGCGGGTGGGTGAATATTTGCCCCACGGTGTTTCAGAACGAAGCTCCCAGAATTTCAGGGTCACTGTGCAGAAAACTGAGGTTGCTCCTCTTGTTCGCCCGTGCAGAAGAGGAGTACGATGAAGACGCTCAGGTAGTAGAAGACGAAGAGGAAGACGAGGAGGAGGAGGAAGGAGAGGAGGAGGACGTGAGCGGGGAGGAGGAGGTAAGGCTGTCAGCGCGACGGTGAAACACCTGCATCGTCCGGGCTAGAAACGTTACTCGCGCCGGCCTTTGTGTTTCAGCGCCCGTCTTCCATCTGTCTGAGAAACGGCCCCAAACAAGGGCGGGGGGATTGGCAGGGAAGAGCTGTTGTCTGAGAACCAGCTGCCATCTAGTGACCACCGACGTGAAGTCGTTTGGCTTGTTGGGTCCACGTTGAAACCCAGCCTAACTTCCAGCGGCTCGGTGGCAGCGCCTCCACGGCTAACCTCTCTTCGTGCGCGCCGGCTGGCAGCTGGAGTCGAAGCCTGCAGAGCGGAGAGGGGGAGCCAGGGCCTCAAAGCCAACACCTGAGAGCAAGCCGGATCCCAAACGTTTGCACCCTTACGTGGAGTTAGGCGTGAGCTGAAAAGCAGAGTTGTTGTTTCCAGGGTCGCTGTGCATAAGTGTCAGTGGGGTTATTTATAAAAATAACCTCTGCACTTTTGCATTTCAAAGGTTTTTCCCCAAGCTAAACTTCCCTGAGGTTGCTTGGGTTTAACGGAGGGCAGAGTACAGCCCAGCCTCTTACGCCTGCGACCGACTTCACTCTCTTCTCTTCCCACTTTGCACAGCCGTGTTTTCCCTCCTGCTGTTAGCGTAGTGACGGACACGGCGCGGTTCTGCCTCACACACGTTCTTCATGCAATTGTGGGATGCTTAAAACTGAACTCAGCTCAGTTTTGTTCCCGGCCTCGCTGAAGTCAGAGAAAGTTTTCTTTGACTTCAGGGATCTCAAAACTTCCAAACCAGTGGATTTTTTTCCCTTCTTTTTATAACCACTTACTGGGGACAGAAGGCAGCACTCTCTGTTTTGGGACGGGGTAAAAGTTTAGAGGAAACAGGCCAGTATGTCAACCCTTGATTCTTGTTCTGCCGTGTAGTCCAGAATCCAGCCATTTGACCTCGTTGTAGGAAGATCAGGCAAGTTCACTCACTAAAATGTTAGGAGGATCCTACACACGTGCTGAAAAACAGCATTACGAAGCTTTGCCCTGTTGTAAGATGCCAGGTGTTGAATATTATCAACCCAAATGGGATAAACGAGAGTAATCGGTTCTTTTTTTCTTCTCCTTTCTATCAATGCGTATGCAGGAAGATGAAGAAGGCTATAACGATGGTGAAGTAGACGATGACGAAGATGAAGAAGAAGCTGGTATGTCAATAATCCAGTACTTAATCCGGGGCAAAAGTAGTAACGTAACGTGGCCGCAGCAGAGCCACGTCCGACTATGTGCTGCGGCGCTGCTAAGCCAGTGTGAGCGACTTGGTAGAAGTCCTGCTGCAAGAGCCTGGCACGGTGCACGTCTAACTCACGCCGTGTTTGTTTTGCAGATGAAGAAAGGGGACAAAAGAGAAAACGAGAAGCTGAAGACGAGGGGGATGAAGACGACTAAACCGAATAACCTATTTTGAAAATTTCCTATTGTGATTTGACTGTTTTTACCCTGTATTTTTTCCCCCCAGACTTATTTTTTTCTGATTGTAACGTTGCTGTGGGAATGAGAGGGAAAAGCGTATTGGGTGGGCGAGGGAATAAAATACTATTTTTACTGCCACTCCTCCTCCTCCTCCTTCATTTTTAATTTTTTCCCCCCCTTTTGGCCCCTTTTTAGTTCCTGTAAACGCAATAGTAAGTATAAACCAAGTGGTAATTTGTTTCTTATTATCGGAGTGGAGCGTTCGACATCTTCTTTTAAGATCCGCGGACGAGCTCCAGAAATTGCATCGTCCATTCGGGAACAGCGAAAACCCTTTTTGCGGTCGCTGGGATATTCCACCTCCGCTGGTCACGAAACCTCTGGTGAGCATTTTTTTTTTTAATTTTTATTTTTTTGGATGCTACCAATCCTAACGAAAGCATCCTGGCCGCAGCAACAGGTGTGAGAATGGCATATTGATAAAGTGATTTCTTTGTTGCCTGTTCGTGGATGACTGCCATTTTCAGCCCATGCTTTCCCTGCTTTTGTTAGGTACCTTTTCTTTTGCTGTTTGTAAATAGTGACCAAACGTGTTGGGTTTTTATTTCCCTCCCTTTCGTTGGGTGTTCTTTTGGATCTGGTTTGTGGGGTGACTTTGCGATCCCCCCTCTGTGTGTTGTGTTGTTCTTCTTTTTTTTTTTTCTTTTCTTTTGGTTTCTTTTTTGTTCGTTTTGGGTTTTCTTGGCTAGGGTATAGCCAGTACACTGAAAATGGCAGGCATTTAAATATATATATAAATATATATAAAAAAAAAAAAAAGTGTTCCTAATTCCTGAGTTACTAGTGAAATGAATTTGACAATTGTAATAAAAAAAATGTTTCAACCCTTTTAAATAAGGTGTGTACTATTTTGGTCTGTAATATATAACACCTAGTCAATTTTAAGTGATGAGAAACTACTTCCACTTGTGCTCTATACTTTGAAAATTTTTACAAACCTAAATACAGGAGACAGTTACAGCATGTAGTGTAGGAGATTTCTTTTCATACACTCAAGCACGAAATACTAATACAAAATTGTATTTTCTTACCTAGTGGAAGTCAGTAAAATGACTGAAAATACCTAGTGAATGTACAGTTTTACTTTCATATCCCTCTTTAAAATAGCTTTAGAAGTGACTTGTATTTCCTAGTCAATATTTCATCTGTATAAATACATTTGCAACAGTTTTTTTCCCAGAAGAGCCAAACTTTGAGTTTTATGTCTGTTTGTCATTGATGAATTTCAATAAATCTTTTTATACAATTTTTCTGTGGCTTATTTGAGTAAAACGGGCCACTGGGAACGAGTTGCATACCTTTTTTAAAAGGCATTTAATGACCTACTCCGGTGAATTCCCTGATATTTTTAGTAGCTTGATGATATGTTTTCCTTTATAAAATTCCTCCAAGCCGTGGTTGGGTGAAAGCGAGAGTTGGTTTGGCTTCGGTGCAAATGATGGTACGCTATTTTTATTTCGGAAGAAGGGGGTTTTATTTTTTAATTGCCAGCAAGGTGGTGGTTATAGCTCAGCACATTAATTTTTGTCATCCGTGTCTGCTACTATCCGTATTAATCCAACCCTAACATAAAAGAGCTATTGGCTTCCTTCATCCGGTTGTTTGAGTAACCATGGCTCTACATGGCAGTTGCTAGGCTAGTATGTTTAGCAACTTGGCCGTGATTTCCCCACCCCTCCCTGCAAATAAATGAGATGAAGGTTTATAGAGGCAAGTCTCTTGCTTCTCATTGAAGACCCAAAAGCAGGGATATCTCCTGATGATTTTTTATTTCTTGGTGGGGATGGGCTCTTTATTGCAGATGAAGGCAAACCCAGGTAACGGCAGTATCTGCTACGTACCTGTTCTCCTCCACTTGTCCTCTTTAAAACCATGCCGTTTGCTTTCTGTAACTGAATATTGGCAGGCAGGCAACCGCACCCTTTGCAGCACTTAAGGAGATTTGAAGTCTAAAAAAGGACAAGTGAATACAGCTGGCTCATGTATACGTGATGTTGGCTACTCTCTCACCTTGGGCAAACCTGGTAAGTTTTTAAAGACGGGTCAGAGCAACTGCTACCCGGCATATGTTGCTTTTATGCCACTTAAATACCAGAAGCCTTCTCACCACCGTTCTTCCTGACAACTGGTTTGAGATAGTGGGTGGGAACATTTGTAATGCTCATGGTTGCTGCAAGTTTACACCAGCAAGACAGAAGAGCTCTGCCAGTCTCCTGTACCCCATTCAACAAACCCACAAATTGCCTTTGTCTGGGCTGTTGCATGGTGTAACAAGCTTGTAAGCATGTGCAGGATTACTTAAAAGCACTTCCAAAATGTCAGCGGTGCTATTCACAGCTTCTAGGACTTGCGTCACGTGTCTGTACTGTGAACGGTTGCAAAGCAGGAAGCATCGAGTTGTGTGTCCTGGAAAGTGTGTTACTTCCAAAGAAATCGGCGGAGAGGGAAGAGATTTCCTGTGAAACATGAGGTGGGAGGCTACAAGTTGCTGAAAGCACGGACTGGGAATAGATGCATGGAGAGAGAGAACTGTTTTGCACACAAAGTAGGATTCTGTGCACCAAGAGGTGGTTTCCGTTACCTGTCCGCTGCTTAAAATGCCATTGAATCCCACCAAATGAGAGGGGAGGTGCGGGGAGACCCAGCAATCTTCCAAGTCAGTTTGCATTTAAATGGATGGGTGGCAGATCTGGCTCGAGAGAGACTTTGAGACATCTTGGAGTTGACCACATCCGGCAAGAGAGAGTACTGTAGTTTGTCCAGTGGCTGGTGTCTTTGGCTAACTCCAAACATTGGCAAACTTTCTGATACTTGTTACATTCTTGTTTTTATAGGATATAGGCATGTGGAGCGGTCAGTCAACCTTCAACGCCGAAGTATGCCGACCAGAGGTCACTAGTGGTGAAACACTGAAAGACACAAAGCCAACTTTAACTATTGCAGCCAACTTGCATGGCTTTGCACCACTACACAGGAAAAGGCTTTTCCGTGTACTGTGAAGTACTATTTAAATGGTCTCCGTTTAAGGTAGTTAAAAGTGTTCACACAACAGGCTTGTGATGGACAGCCTGGAAAAAACTGGTGTTCTGAGTTGAAAGGTGGATGTCCAAATCCCGGGGAGGGTTCGGCTCTTGCAGTCCTTACATTGGTAATGTTCCCAGCAAGTCAGAGGGAGCTCTGCGTGTCTCAGGACTGCCAGGATGGGCCCCTCTTTCTTGGAACAAAATGTTTCGGAGGATGAACGAGGGATTAAAAAAGAAAAAACCCATGCAGGCAGCACATGATAAATACCAACTTACAGGTTTCAGGCAGACAGCGAGCCTATAAAAACAGGGATGTACAAAGGGAGGTGTTTTTTTTATTAGGAGGAATGCAGAATCACACCTCAACACCCCTACGTCGCTCTTTAAAAATGAAATGCTTCAGTGCTGACTACTGATCCCGCAACTCGGTGAGCCAATGAGAGGCTTGCACGGGGTCAGTCTACCTTGCAGGTGTGGCCGCTGAAGTTTCAGCCTGCCGAGTGATGCTAGCGCCTGCGTACGGTTTGTGCAGTATCCAAGCAAGCTCGTCCTTGGTGTTCTCCCTGTTAAACCCTTTAGCTAATAAGGCGTTAACAAGGGTTCATTTGGGGCTTCGCAGCACATGGAAGTTAAACAAGATCTGCAAGTCGGAGCTCGTGTGATGTTAATCACAACATATCATGCACCAATTAAAAAGAAGAAAAAAATGCAATCGCTCGGTGTCCTGCCCGGTGTCTCCACAGTATAATGACCTCGTTGTTCAAATTGGTATCCTCCAAAAGGATTCTCCCTGGTTTGCTTGATAACGCTTTCTTGTTGCTTGAATTATTCATAGAGATTAAGGCTAAAGGGAGCATTAGATCATTCAGGCTGTCCTATATATCACAAGATATTGCATTTAACCCAGTTACTCCTGCGTTGAGCCTAGTAATCCGTGCTTGGCTAAAATGCGTCTTCCAGAAAGGTATCCTGTCTTGATGCCTTTTTTTGAAGATGGCAAGAGATGGAGAAACCGCCCCTTTCCCTAGAAATCAGTGTTAGTAATTAATCTTCACGGTAAAAATTCTCTACATAGCAATAGCCCTATTAATGCTCTTGTGCACGCACTGATAATACTGTTGCTCGGAAAGAAAGAAGCCCCTGCCCAAATGTGGGGAAATCCTTTAGCTCTAGATAGTTGGCAAAAACAAGAATTTCTCTTGCTTTGTGTTTTCCTTAAATAAAGCTTTTAGTGGGTTGGGGTTGTTTCTTTTAAATCTTTTTCAAGTGGATCGTTCCGTGATGAAACATATAAAAATCTGTAGCAGCTGAGACTTGAGGCTAAATCAGAAATTCAGCACGACCAGCGAGACAGCGGAGATAGTTAACCATACCCAATACAACAGACAAAACCCAACAGTCGGAGGAATGTTTTCCTCAAGAACGTGAGAGTCATTTCTTCTTTTTCTTTAGTTATCTATTTCTGTGGCAATTGCCCCGATGTGAAAATGCCTGTTTCTCCATCGTTCTGCTGGCCATCATGTGCTGTTTGTGTTTTTTTTCCCTATTGATTTTTATACTGTAGAGCATAGCTGTCATTTAAATAATTGAGAGTTGCATCCTACAAGCATTGACCTTGCGGGCTCGTCGGAAGGCCGATGGGCTGGCGCTGGCCATTTCTACAGTGCTGAGGAAGACCTTTTGTGACCGGTGTTTGGCAGGCACTAAGCGGGGTTCAGTTTTATTGATATGACCGTCATGCGGCGGCCCCGTCCTCTACATGCACTATGCAAACAGCAGGACAGCCCTGGAGCTTATCTGAGATGCAGAGTTGTGTCTGGACATGAGCCGTGCTAAGGCTGGGCTGTTCCAGCTCATCTTTAAAGGCGTGCCAGGCACTCGTGCATCCCACGAGCAGGCCAAACAGCAGCTAGTGACTGCCTTCAGGAAATGGTGGCAGCTGCTTCAGCGCGAGGAAAGATTTATCTGCAAAGCTGGAAGAGAGATGGCTCTCAGGTGCACAGCGGGTCGATGCAGGCTGAGAAGGAGGATCCGTTACCATGATTAGCGTTTTAATGGTAGGCAGGCAGTTTGCTTTCTCTAATGCTATTCCAGTTGCAGAGCAGTGGTGCAGTTCCCTCAAATCCCCTAGAAACCAGATAGTCACCGGGGGGAGACCAGAAATCCATTAAATAACTGGGCTGTGTCTCGCCCTCCACTGACACTTGCAAAGTTCAGATGTCACCTTCAAACCTTTGCATCCTTCCAGACAAAGTGTTGGCTGTATCTAAAGGATGGCTTCGTACATCTCAGAAGAAAGCTGCACAAGGTTTTGCAACCTATTGGAGCAACGGGAAGAAGGCACCATGAAGATTGGCATGAGGGAAATCATCTTCTTGTGGAAGAAAACAGTGGGGCTGATGTTTTTCACATGCATGTTGTGCTATAGCTGACGACAGGGCAGACCAATGCACGTGAGACACGAGAGAGAGAAAAATGTAGTGCCCAAGGGATGATCCTCGTGGGTAGTGAGTATCTTAATTGGCCACACACAACTTTGGGGACCAGCAGGCGGTAGTGATACACCTGCAGTTTGGGTGCCTGTGCCTGACTTCCTTCCCAACTTCCTGCAGGGACTGACTTTCTGCACATGATGCAAAGTATGTCCAGCTGCTGCTGCACAGAAAAGATCAACAGGGCAATGCACCAGCTCCAGGGAGTGGTGATGTCTTCTTAGCTGAGAGACGTCTACCCCGGCAGACCCTGAGCGACTATCGCTGATGGACGGCAGCGTTTGAGCCGAAACTGCTTTCTAATGACCACGAAGGAAGTGTTGGCATGTACCCCCATGTCTGCCTGCCAGACTCTGGATTTGCTGACTTTTCAGGGTGCATGATGCAATACTTCTCACCCAGGATTTTGGGCAAGGAACTGGGTTTATTGCCTTGTCTTCCTTATTTGCTGGTGGACACAGGGGTTGGAGGCACATGGTTTTGAAGAGCCAGGCATATTCCTAGTGCAAGGGCTACCCTCTGACTCGGTAGGTTGTCTCCAGAACTAGCCATCGCCGGACTAGAATCATGGAAAATCCAGCAAACATCCAACACCCAGGAGCTGCGAGGCACAAGGCGTTTCACACAGCACTGCTTACTCCGATTTGGGCAAGGGAAGAGCAAGCAGAACGACAAGCGCTGCAGCCTGTTTCATAGCCCTGAATTAACCCTAAGTGCCTGGTAGGGCAGTG